AAACAATATTGATTATTGAATATGATTTCATGAACTTATCAGCAGTTTTATTCACAGATATTATATACTTATACAAGGAGTCCAATTTTAGTAATATTTGTTTGTGCGGCGATAATGAGTTTGTATATTGTTCATTCTAGATGTTTATAGCAATGTGCTTTCAGCAAGTTTTAACAACAAACGCGGACTGTTGTGTATGCACGTCTTAATAATCAGGCTTAATGTATAAAAGATATTCCTATACTAGCAACCCAGTGTGGATTGATGTCTACACGTAAACGTACCAGCAGTTACATGTAATATACCCTGCTGGCAGTGGTTTCTGAGCTGAGGAGAAACTACTGCGAGCAAACGAACGATTTTCTAGCGAAGATCGCGTGATGCGACCAACGTGACGTCACTTTAAATTTGACTTTCTCTTCTGTAGTTTGTTAGATGTAAACAAGCTTGACATAGTTTAATCAAACGACTTTTTATTCTACATGCAGTTCGCAATTTATCTGTCGGTTCTATAAATATCGTTGCTGCCAATACTAAAATATTTTTGAAAATCGGTTTCTCACGCTACAAATTTGACATTTGAATTTCTGTTATATCTTTTTCAATTTTTGTGTTTATACGATCAATATTTTTTTACTTGGTCTACAAACTTTATTTGTGTTACTTTAATTTAAACATTGGAGATTGTGTTAAGGTTTTCGGTAGAGTAAATTCCAATTTCAAAAGTTTCCAAATATTAATATGTTTATTATTGTGGATTTTGACAATTATTGCATTTTTTTGCGACCTCAACCGCTAGCTACAAAACATTTCTCTAAAAGGTTGATTTTTGTTACAGTGTAGAATTTATTGTTATAATTATGTTATTCTTTTGAACTCTATGCGGTTTTCAAGTCATCTTGATGTATAATTTCTCACATTCTATTCAATATTTGTACACTTTTGTACAAAGACAAGGACAGTCAAGGTATTATATTTAAGCGTGTTGCTATATTTAGAACGTGATGCTGTTTTCAGTGTACAACTGGCTCGCATTTTACCAGCAGTGCCAAGCATTTACCCATGCGCACGACAACAAAAACTTGTTAAACTTGTTTTACCAGTTTCTCATTTATTGTTTCGCCCGTATATTTGGACGGCGGCTACATCAAACGATCGTTCATTTGCTCGCAGTGGTTTTTCTTCAGCTCAGCTAGAAACCACGGCCACATGGTACATGTAATAACATGTCAACCGGCTTTTTTTGTACAAGGTACGACGTTCTGTAAAAATATATCCATTGTTATATGTCCATTGTTAGCATGATATGAAATAATCCTACTGGCCAACATCCATATATTCACCTGGCTGTGTCACTACATTTCAGGGTATAAACACACCCTTAAAAACGCCTGGTTTCTACTAAATCGTAATCATCGCAATAGTCGCGGAACGCAGACATCGTTATCGCAAAAATCGCAGTAAGTCTATCTTTGCGACGTTGTCGTAAGAGTCTTAGTTATCGGCGTGACTCAAGTTTCCAATAAATCGCAGTTTTTATTGAAAATTTTGCGTTTTTTAAATCGTTGTGACGCTTGCGATGCACTTTTTGCGAAAATTACGATTTAATGGAAACCAAGCTTTATTGGCAGCAAATTGCGACATGCTGCCTTGATCCCTGGGCGGTGAGGCAGCACTTTCCTTGCGATAGTAACTTCTAGTCATTAGAAGTTTATTTACAGTGAAATAATTGAAATGTTTTTACATCGCTTAGATTATTTACGTCGTTTTCAAAAAAGTACCCCAACAAAATAGCGAATTTGACCTTCGTGAGAAAGGCTAATTGACCCTCAGTTGCCCTCAGCCCTCAGGTATATTTGTCAACATTTGTGAAGTTAATGACCATCTAAATGCCTGTATACTAAATAAATAAATAAAATAAATAAATACTAACACTTATATAAACTAAATAACAACTTATGTCCTGTTAGTGCCAAGGGAGGAACACTACAGGAAATATTATATTTCATTATTTACGGAATTACAAGATCAAATGACCTGAAAAAATATGACAAGAACTTCGACGTCGCGAGCGAATGCGCTGCGTCTAGAAGTTAGTAAAAGTTTTCCTGCTTCAAACTTCTTAATCGTTATATTTTTCAGGCAATTGTATTATATTTCCTCCTTTCCATTTACAGTAATGGGCACGAATGTCTTTGTTGCGGAAGTTACGCATTTGCTAGTTTTCTACGAAGAAAGGGAAACTGGTGTCTCAACCGTGTTTTCAAGCTTATTCTGGGCTTGTTCACTCACCCGAACTCACTGTGATATATATAATGCGATTGAAAATCCACAGCAGGCCTATTTTGTTATGAACTAACCAATTCATGACAAGATACCTAATTATGATTTGGCGATGATTCTGTTTCTGCCTCTGTTGCGTGATTTTCTATTCCAATTGTGTCGACAGAAATTGGTAAACTTCGAGGCTTTTGCGTATTATGAGAATTACAAAGAAGACGATAAGCACGATGACAAGAATTGCGCCTGCACCCACGAAGAAGATCACGATTGAATTTGTTGTTTCTATTAAATTTAAATTTATGAATTATAATTTATGGTAAAATAAGAGAACGTTATGGATTAATTGCGCAATCTAGCTCCACATTTAAATTAAGTTTATATACAATCTTAACAATACTGTAGTTTTAATCTTAGTCCTCCAATCCAGATGGTTTGAATAAAAATATAAGTTATATAGCGGCTCATCTATGTTTTTGTTTAGGTTTATTCAGAAATATATGGTACTTCACTGTCGTGTGCGTATATTGCACAATCAACCAATATCAATGTTCTATATAAACGTTAGCTATCCGTGACTTGAACAATTGGGTAACGTAAGTATTGCTATTAGTGATTTAGTGGATATACAATATATGCACGTCACGCACAAGTTGTAACAAGTCTGCAAACAAGCTGTTACAAGTCTGTTCACAAGCTGTCGACAAGTTGTGTTCGCATTGCTTGTTCCCAGTTTGTTGTAACAAGTTTGGAACAAGCTGTTAACAACTTGTAACAAGCTTGATGGCATTATCATCCTTGTTACAAGACTGGTGCTAACAAGTTTGTTACAGCCATATGATATAACAAGGATTTTACAAGGTTGTCAACACAAGGTTGTAACAATCTTGTTATATCAAGCATGTAACGGACTTGTCAGAACAACCTTGCAACAAGTCTGATAATTTCGACAAGGTTGTTACAAGTTGTCAACAAGTTGTTCCAAACCTGTTGACAATTAACTTGTGACAAGCAGTGCGAATATATCTTGTTGCGATGGCGGAAATCAACGGCGGAAAACTGAATGAAGTAATTTGAAGAATTTTCAGGAAAACTAAGGAATTTCAGAGGTCTTGCCAGGAAATTCTCAAATTGGGTTTGGCATGGCTTGACCTTGTAAGCTCAAATTATTCTATATTGACCTTGTAAGCTCAAATTATTCAATTCTGGCGCAGACACAGATAATTGATTTCCATTGACGCAGACAGCTCGAAAGAGCCCTTCGTTCAAGTGTGTCATTTATATTATGTGTATATGGAGTTTAATGGCATTTGTCTTTGAATAAAATTATCATACAAGAAACAGTTTACTTCTTTCCTAAAATAACTATGACACTAGGCCCCCAGGAACTTTGCCAATTCCACCTGTTTTACCGTCAATACAGCGGTTCCTTCCCTTAAACTATTCCGGTTCCGAGGAAAGTTAATTCTCAGCCGGAATCCAACTTTACCATAAATATCTTAACAGGAATCTTACAACTATATTTATAATGCTACTCGATATGTTACTGATTACTGAATATCTAGTCACAACTAATTCACTGCATGACTATACATAGTAAGATTTATTCGTATGTGATGTCATTCCAAAACCTCACGTTTTGGTAAGAGGCGTTGTCTTCATGGTCACGTTTCGTTGTCTTCATGGTCACGTTTCGTTAACTTTCTTGTTCCGTTAAGTGTCAACATTTTTAAAATTAAGAAATTGGAAATCCAAATTCGTTGAGCACTCTAGCCCAATATTTAAATAATTGAAGATTATAAAGCCGTGTGATCTTGTCATACTTCGTATTGTAATACTTATGTTGAAATTTCATCATCAGATGTTACCTCCTGCCTTTGAATTGTTTTTTATGCAGTCAGTGAAAAAAGTTCATAACTATAATACACGTTCAGTGGCTTCAGTCTTACTATCTCCAAAAAATAAGAACAAATTATGGTAAATTCAATGTACGATTTCAAGGATCTGTATAGAGCCTTTGCACATGACGTCACAGCCGCCATGTTGGTGTTCCAATTTAAAATTAAGAATTTTAATTGGACTCTTTTGTCTGGAACACCAACATGGCCGCCATGGCTTTTGTTGAGTTGGTCCCTGGGGAATGAGTGCAAACATTTTATAGTTTGGAATGCAATTGGTCTTCATGTTAAGTCTCTTTCATTTAAAAAATTCAAAATTCAAAGTAAATTAAATACTGATTTTGTAAAAATTTTAAAAAATCTCCAGTATATGTTTGTTTGTATTATATGTCTGTCTTCATGTGTGTATAGATAATTCATTTAAAGTGTAGTAGATTTGAAACAGTATCATATTTCTCACTAATTTGTATGTGTGCTTTATAATTATGTAATTTAGTAATTAGCATTAATGTAAACTGACTTCCCAGCATCTTTAGATTATTGGTTATTTTGGGAAGTCAATGCCCCAAGTATTGTGAAAATTTCTTATGTGTAAGTACGTATTTTTTATTTATGGATTAAATATATTGTTGTTGCTGTTGTTATACTCCCGTATAACGCTTATATAAATTATATTATATACTGAAAACTATATTACAAAATATCTCAACTGGTAGTCGATTATTAAACAGCAATTTGGAACTGACATCTTACAAAATATCTTACTGACAAGTGACAAATGATTAGAATTCTAAATGAAAATTAATATCCAAACACACTCTGTCATTTCTTTATCAATTTTTGGTAATCAGCGCTATCATCCTGTACTCGTTTCGTGTTGTCCAGCTCTGTGTAGCCAGGGGGTGTTCTTATCTTTCCAATTTCTTCGTATGATGACTCTGCTTCAGTATGAGCAGGTATTACATAATCTGAGTCGCGTTTTAACAATTTCTGGTAGGCACCATCATTTATTGCTTCGTCTTGTCGGTTTCTGTCAAGCTCGGCGTAAACAGAAGGTGGCGAGATTTGGACTTCTTCGTACGGTTCTGTTTCATCATCTGCTGGACTATAATCTGGTTCCTGTATTAACAAAAAAAGAAGCCTGACTTAGCTTGGTCTTACCATGAGGATGTAGGATGACAAACGTCCGACGATCGCAAATGAGTGTGTGGAAGAGAAGCGTGGAAAAGGACCTCAATGACAAAGGAAGTGCCGAGGTAAGATGGATGTGAAAGTTCTGATGCAAGAGCGAGCCGAATCGGGCGAAAATTCGTAGCTCAATGTAAGGTAAGTAAACATAGCGATTGGGATGACCTTTAATTACTGCATGGACCTACGGTTTAAAACTGATAGAGCTATCCAGTATAAATAAAGTTAGTCGTATATTGCGTGTTAAGCCCCAGAGCAATCCTTTTGAGCTAGCCACCAATTATGTCAATTATGAACAATATGCCTGCAGGAAACTTAGAAACACTTACCTGATTATTCTGCGATGACTCTGGTGCCGTTTCATTTTGCATTTCAACTGTGTCTACTGCAATAACGCTGCTTGATGACTTCGAAGCCTGGTGTCGTCTTTTGTATAGTAGAATTACATGTAAGACAATAAGTACAATGGCTAAGGTTACCGCAACTCCCGCGAAGAACATTGCAATTGAATTTGTTGAGTTCTCTAATAATTAAATTTAATGGGAAAATAAGAGAACATAAATACTATCTCTTATTCATCTAGTGTTACTACAAACGACTGACCTAAACTAAACTAACTTTATTTATACTGGATTGCTCTATCAGTTCTAAACTGTCCTATCTAAAAGTCCATGCAGTAAGAATCTCCCTCATCTCATATGGTTACTACAGGAGGAAACTATATCATCTGGAAAAAACCTGCAGTCAGTTTGGTAGAGTCAAACTGGAAGCACTCTTAATTCTCACATATGACTGAGGTGAACTTATAATCAGACAGCTGCATATTTCAGGAATTGAACCCCAGTCACAGAGGTCAAATGGTCACACCATTGTATGCAACCCACCATGACATTCATATACTTGCCTTCACGTCCAGCTTTTGTTTCGGCATAAATTGTGGTATAAGTGTGTAAACGTGTACTGCTATCTGTACGTATTCCAGTTGCACTCTTGGTAATCTGTACAACTGACATTAAAAGATTTATAAGCAGAAGTATAGTAGAGATTTTCTTTGTACATATTCGCATGACGATAGTATAATATTTTCATTGGTTAGTGGAACCAATACGTTTATTCATTGGCGCTTTCAATCTGAAAGCCCCGATCTTCATTAGTGCTAATAAAGATGAGTTAAAACATAGTTAATATACCTGTATAGTTAAAACTAATTCGAATAATTTAAGTTTGCTATTTTATAATTCCCAATATGCACTTTCAACCCTTGATGAGTAAAATCTTCTGACGTTAAACGGAGAAAAAATTAAAACAACAATAGAAAAAGCCGGCCATATGGACGCATTGTACTATAATGGCAAAGCAAGAGACATGGACAAAGATTGTGGTTAACCCACTGACCTGTTTTATTTTGTTCAACCACACAACCATATAGCTCAAGCCTCGTACATGCATTGTCATCCGTATAATAACCTGGATGAACCCTGATGTACCTTGCCATAATTGTAGGGTCTAGATCATGTCGTACAACAGCGAATACATTGTTGTTTCCACGAAATATCTGAAACAGAGTAGACATTTTTAATATGCTTGCTGTGTTTATTCACAAACTAATATGAGCAACATGTAGACAAACATCTTAGCATCCTACGCTAAACTTTTAGGTTCAGAGGATCACATAATAAGGTCCCAAAGATATAAGTAGGTGTAAGTTTCATGCAAAATTTCTATCCATGAAACATTTTTATCAAATTTACCTTGTCAGTTTGATCTTTTCCTTGGTAAAAATGCCATACTCCACCATCTTTTCTGTATGATAGTTTATAGTCCTTAGCCCATTCTCTTCCTCCATTACATTCTCGTCCTTGTGTTGCAATTCTTGTGATTTTTGTCAGATTTAACAAATCAATCTCGATATACTGGTCGTAATTCTTTTCACGTATTTTACCTCCACTCACATCTGCACACCATGCTCCCCACATTTCGATATTTTGGTGTAGACGAGCCTGTCTACCATATGCTGTTCTAAGAAAACTAGAAACTGTGATTTGCGAGTCTTTAATTCTGCCATTTGCCATACCAAGTGGAGATTTACATTCTAAATAACGCAGTTTAGTATTTTAAGAATACGTTCACAGACGAGCGTGTTCCACTCATTCACGGGTATTCGTATATTATTGTTACATACATTTCATGTTTCAAATGGAACTAAAGAAATTTCATTTTTTTAATTTGAAACTGTATTTAAACTAAACACCATAGAGCAAAATAGTCCTTTTCTCATGTAAAGACATGTTGGTCGAGACTATACGACACATGTCTGATCACGCACAGTTATGATGGAAGGGTTATAGTTTTTGGTGAGTAGAAAAACCACAGGTTCTGGAGAAAAACCCTCGAAGCACAGGAGAGAATGAACCACAAATCGATCTGCTTACATCAGTGTACCCTTATCTGACTTATCTTCAGTAATTCCAGGAAACACTGAGTATTTTAATAAAATACAGAATAACGCTAACTAATAAGAGCCTAGACTGACTCTTTTCACATAAATGTCATGAAGATCGAATCCACGACCTCAGAGATGCAAGGAGCTTGATCTGACGATTGCGCCACCGAAATCCCGTGCTTTCCTGCATGAAATACCTGAGTCGCCGAGTGTTACATAGGTCACACTGGTTAAACCAAGAAGACAAATGAACATACAACTTTCAGAAATTTTGCTCATTACCATCTAGAATTTGAACAAAAGAATTATGCTTTAAAATGGAGCCCAAACTTTTAATAATAAATAAGAACATACCAAAGTTTTTGATCTGTCAGCCCAGATCTTCATTAGCGCAATGCAAACCTACCGAGGTCCTCTAGTCAATATGGCGTAACCAATTATAGAAATATATATATATATATATATATATATATATATTCTCTATCTCGTAGTATGGTCACCCTATATATAGTTATCAGAGTATGAAAATAATGTTAATTCTTTTTCGGTTATAGAAGGTATATAGAATTGATAAATGTGAACTTTTTCTCCTAAAATGTCAACAGTCTGATCGATCACCATCTGCATGCTGTTCTGCAGGAATAAACTAACTGTTCACTTTTGCATGCATGGTTAAATAAAAATCGTCAATTGGCAATTACATGTCAAAACCGCCTACTACTTCCGCCAAAACACACAAAACATTGCCAATAAGCCTTTGGCAATATTTTTATTCTGGTAGTTTTATTTTTTCCGTTTTCTTATAACTTGAATGAAAGCCAAAACGATTTAAACCAAAAAACCAAGGCTATACCTAAACACAAAGTGCATGTTTTCAATCGCCAAATAATAAGGAAACTTATCATGCAAATGAAGTGTGGCGAAAAGAAAGCGAGAAATAATATTGTCAAATAAGCCACTTCATTTGCTACACTATAAATTTCGAGAATTTGAATCAACTCCAATTCTCTCACCAAAAACATGCAGTGACAGAATAACATTTTTGGAGTGGATTCAACTTCTTGAAATTTACACCGGCGACAATACCGGACTATAGTTTCAAGTATAAACTAAAGACTGCTCTCGAGTCACGCGTAGTTTTCATAAGTGCCTACACGCACGGAAAAATTAAATCTTTTTAAATTTAACACTAGTATGAATTACCTGACACAAATGCACATTAAATCATTCACAAAACTATATGCTTTTCTTTTATTCATTCAGTTATTTCATAAGCAACATTTAAAAAGAAACTCTTCCGTGCGTGAGCATGCAGCCTTTAGAGTAGGAACGTCCTGAAACTCTTCATGAACATGGGCGGAAACAATTAATGAGTTTAAGGTAAATAAGTCATTTTAACACGGAAAGTTTACCACATGATATATACGTGCGACCAGCCCTGATTTTATTTCTCATTTTTGGCGGGGTTTTTGGGAAGCGTCACGTCAATTTTCAAGTTATGGTTTCAAGTCATTTTAATGAGACTTTCTCGCAGACTTTTCAAATAGAATCGTAGAAACATTCTTTGTTGCTGTACAGTGTTTAAAGTGCCTATGTCATGATTTAGGATCTTAAATATTTTTTTTATTTTTGGTGCATTTTATGAAGAAATGCAATATATCTTTGTAAGAAAATATACCATGTTCATAGGATTAAAGATGTATTGTATTTCTTCATAAAATATACCAATGATTACAAATAATAAATTACACAAATTATGACATAGGCCTATGCACTTTAATATATATGTATTTTTAGTATAAATTTTCCATATCAAATGAGCTTTCGCGCGTTCTGATTGGCTAGTTGACTAGTAAATCTGAGGCATTATTTACTAGCAGACTAGTAAATAATGCTTTTCAAAAAGAATGATTCGGCAAATTTGGTTTCAAAATCGACAAAATATTGAAAAAAATCGTCCCAGAAAACGAAGAAAGCGCAAAATGTTGTATTTAACTTGAAAGGTAAGACATTATACACAATTTCTCGTTTTCCCAATTTCCACTCCTGTTGATATAACTGTACATCAACACGGAAAATTTTTTGTATTTGTTAAATAATAAACGTCTGCAGAGAAACGTATATACATGATTTTTCATCAGGGTGACAAAATATAATATTAATTCTTTTCATTACACATTGTAGTCTTATACTTGATGCAGACCTGCCAACCCTTGAGTATAGCAGAAATAGTGAGTTGCCGTCTAAAACATCGTGAGATTGACTGAAAAATCGTGAGACTGAAAAACCGTGAGAGAAATTTTCAGGTTTGCTCATTAATATGACCATGCAAGGTTAACTTTAACAATTACACTAGAAAACAACCTCGTCGTCAGCACAAAGGCCCTGGGGACGAGGTTGACTAGAAAATAATCATAAGATTTACAATTTTATGATAGTATGCATTTATATTTTGTTAATATAACCGTAAATGCAAGGCTTATTAAAAATAGGCTGTTTTTTCTTTATAGGTTTAGTAGCTTCCACTGTACAAAAACAAGAAAATTATGACTAGCAGGACAATAAACTTAGGAGGACACGCCTTTTACTTTGTAACACAAACATCACGCATACAAAATTCTGGCGTTGTACATTGCGCATTATTAATACACTAATAAAGTGTGATGTTTCCTTGGAAGAGTGTGCCTTATTGTAACTAGATGTTGCGCTCTTCGATGATTTCATAAGTTCCGAAAATCGTGAGATTTCACGAGAGATCGTGAGAAAGCATAAAAAATCGTGAGTCTCACGATTAAATCGTGAGACTTGGCAGGTCTGCTTGATGGCAAATAGAATTGAGAGATGTGGTTTTATGCACATAACTTAAACAATAAACATTAAAGAACACTGGCAATAAAAATTTAGTTTAGTTCATTTAAAAAAACTCTTAAAACTCTGTTACAGATTTTTTAAATCTTGCTTAGTTTTCATAATATTTCGACTGAAAAAAGTGGGCTGTTCGCCATCTTGAATTATTGAGGATATGCATGTATACGTCAAGAGAGGGGTCACGCTAATTTTTATCTTGAGAATAAGCGATCAATATGGGTTCAAAACTTCGTTTCTGGTTGCAGTCTGAAATTTAGAAATGATTAAAAACACTTGAAACAATTTTGAATTGTTACCCGGTCATTTTAGAGTAGTTTTATCAGTATGGTTAACCCAACTCCTGACGTCATCAAATCCATAGTTAATGAGGTCAAGAATTAGTCCAAGATGACGTTCAGCTCATTAATTTCGGTCTAAATATTTCGAGAACTAAGCAAGATATGACAAATCGGTAATAAAGTTTAATATGTAATTTTAAAGTTCTTTTGAATGAGACAAACTAATTTTTTATTGTCAATGTCCTTCAAAACTAACAACTGCACGAATTTGAACAAGACAAATCACGAAAACATATAGATTTCCATGTTCTATGATGGAAAATAAATGTTTGGAAACATATTGCAAACATGGAAATCTATAGCTATGTTTCTCAAGCGGCAAACCGAAACTTAAATCTTAATTTAAAAAAGTATGTTTAGTGCTTTAATCTTTATCTATAAAACAATGCTAAAATGAAGAGATTTTAGATGGTACCCCAAAGAGAAAATGATGCTGATGTTCAGTAAGTTTGCTTATATTGCCATGTATAAAGACTCTAAATATGGCGTCAATTTTACAGCATCAATGATAATTGTATTTAAATTGACAATATTTAACTATTATTTTGTGTTTCTCGACCTCCAGATACATTCAAAAAGGTTTCTAGAACTGTGTGAAATAGAAATTATAAAGCTAAAATACAGCTAGAACAAAGTAATATTAAGAAGAACGCCAAAAAGATTTTAGGTTTTGAACACTTGACTCCTAATTTTCTCATTTGTTCCTGTATATTCGTCACAACATTTTGATGTTAATGACAATCTATAAAATGCCTGTAATTGTATACTAAATAAATAAATAAAATAACTAAATACTAAATAACATGTCCTGTTAGTGCCACAGTTTTTGGTTTTAGTTTTAGTTTTATTAGCTTCGCCAACAAAAAAATACAAAATTACTATATATAAATTACATAACATAACATAACAGAAATTACAACATATGATGTCTAAATTTGGCAGGAGCACCGCAACAGCGTCAGCCAATTACTGCGGGTCCAAAGATTATAAAAACTAGGCTAAAAATGTGTTAAAAACAACAAGTTAGCCGTCTTGACATGTTGCGAGCAACGTTACATGAAGTACAAATTGTTTTCCATGATCGAGCGTCCTCGGGGTCATAGGATTGGACAAGAGCGTTTTTGTAGTAGGGCCACTTAGGGGAGAGAAAAGTGGCAATTATTTAAGCTAGGTTCCAGGTGTCTTACGTGGCCAAAATCATTATTCTGTAGTACAATTTTATAGTGGACTGCTGCCGTTTACTGGCTGCCAATATGTAAATTAGGTTGGCAGCCAGTATAAACAATGTAGACACTTTTTTATGCTGAGTGGCCCTACTGTACTTTTCCTATACTGTGTTAGTGCCAAGTTAAATACATAACGGCTTCTGTCCTGTTAGTGCCAAGAGAGGACATTACAGGAAGTATTATATTTCATTATTTACGGAATTACAAAATCAAATGACCTGAAAAAATATAGGCCTATATAACAAGAACTTTGACGTTGCGAACGAACGAATGCGCTGCGTCTAGAAGTTAGTAAAAGCTTGCCTGCTTCAAACTTCTTCACCGTAAATTTCAACGAGTTGAATCAATTCCAAAATTTAGAGTGTTGTTTGTTCCTCAGGAAATTGTATTTTATTTCCTCCTTTCCATTTACAGTAATGGGCATGGATGTCTTTGTTACGGAAGTTATACTCATTTCACTGCTAGTTTTTTTGGGAAGAAAGGGAAACTGGTGTCTTAATTAACCGTGTTTTCAAGCTTATTCTGGGCTTGTTACTCACTCCAATTCGCTGTGAGGTAATGCGATTAGAAATCCAGAGCAGGCTTGTTTTGTTATGAACTAAGCAACTCAATTCCATGTCAAGATACCTGATTATGATTTGCCGATGATTCTGTTTCTTCCTCTGCTGCTTGATTTTCTATTTCAATTGTGTTCACAGAAATCGATAACTTCGAAGCCTAGCGACGTCTTTTGCTATTATCAGAATTACAAATAAGACAATAAGTACGATGGCAAGAGTTGCGCCCGCACCCATGAAGAAGATCACGATTGAATTTGTTGTTTCTATTAAATTTAAATTTATGACAAAATAAGAGAACGTTATGGATTAATTACGTAATAGAGAGCTCCTTATTTAAATTAAGTTTATATACAATCTTAACCCTAATTCTAATGTTAACCCTCTCTAATCCAGAAGATTTTAACAAAAATATAAGTTATATAACTTGTCATCTATGTTTTTGTTTAGGTTTATTCAGAAATATGGTCCTTCACCGTCGCGTGCCTATTGTAGCTATCCGTGACTTGAACAATTGGGTAACTTAAGTATTGCTTTCTTTTTCCATTTTTTTTGTTGGTGTTATTTTACTCAGGTGAATATGATGTGTGTGATGTTACTCATGTGTGATGAGTGTGTATCCACACCGGGCAGGCTTGAAAAATATGCCTGGCCACGGTGGGAATCGAACCTACGATCTTTGGAATACTAGCCCAGTTGCATGGCAGAGCATTGGGCTAGTATTCCAAAGGTCGCACAGGTTTCCACCGTGGCCAGGCACATATATGTACGTTAAACACTGTGTAGCGATGAAATGAAATGTATCTATATGTATGTATAAAATGTTCTCGAGTGAGATATATCATAAATTCCAGACAGCGCGCAAGCAGAAAACTGCCTGCCGCGGCTGGGCTTCGAACCCGCCACCTTCGAATTACTAAATCCATGTTCTACCAACTGAGCTTCACGGTCAGGACGGATTGAAGACTTGAAACAATAACACAACATAGGCCTAATATCACTCTCGCAGAACTAGTATTGTTCGATGCTGAATTAATGTAAACGAGTATGTTTATGACACTCAGTATATAGTTCATAACTTCCAGTCTTCGATCCGTCCTGACCGTGTAGCTTAGTTGGTAGAGCGTCGATCTAGTAATTCGAAGGTCGCGGGTTCAAAACCCAGCCGCGGCGGGCAGAGTTTTCTGCTTGTAAGAAGATCAGTAAACCTATACATTTACATCACGAGTACAATCTCAAGAAAAAATATCATAAGGCCTACAACATTCGCTGGAGTAATAGCTGACACCAGGCATGGAAGGAAGAAATTCTGATATGACTCGACAGACTATACTATTAATACCAAATCCCTGAAAACTTGCACTACGGCAAGAGACTGCCGTCGTTGTCCAGTGATCCACGACATTTTCTTCTCGAACTACGGCAATTGCCACGGCTGCCGCGATAAACTTCCAACCATCGTTACTATAAACAGTAGAAATATTTGAAAACTTACCAGTTGTGGACGATCGAGTGACACCATAAGTATCTCCTGAACAATGTTGAAGAGACGTCGTCTTTTCATTTCCACTGGCAGCAACTATAACAATATCAAAACACAACACAATTTAGTCACTATTTATACAGAATTCCTGTGATGTTTGTCAGACTTAACAAATTAATCTGCATATACCGTTTGTAATTTCTTTTAGTCATTGACCCTCCACTGGCAACCATGCATGCTCCCCTGGCTGTATTCTTGTGTAGATGAGCGTGTCCGCCATATGCTATTCTATGAAAACTAGAAACTGTGATCTGTGAGTCTTTAATTCTGCCATCTGCCATCTGCCATACCAAGTGGTGATATACATTTAAATGACACAATGTTGGTATTATTATTTTAAGAATACGTTGACACAAAAGCGGATCAGTTCAGGATCGTTCCACTCATTCACGGATATTCATATTACTGTTACATGCATTTCATGTTTAAAACGTAAATACAGACATCTTATTGTGGTGCATGAGCTCGAGGTATAGAGGGTGCTAAAAATCTTTCTTTGCAGTTGAGAGCTGAATAACGAAGTTCGCAGCTCAACCCTTCAACTGTAGCTCTGTGGTCAGATACGAGTCATACGATGGCAGTCTGAGGCGCCCTTGATACGTCTTCGAGAATTCGATCAGTTTGAGCTGCGTCCGTAATTCAGCCCAGTTCTCAGCTGCAAGTAAGGATGACAGGCACACCCCCTATTTACTTTGCCATACGGTTTACGATCTGCCCCCTGATCACTGTGTTAATTTGGAATGTTCTGACTTCTTGAAAACTCACGTGAGTGGAATTGTGTCGAACATGAATGTCATGAGTGATGAGTCCGTAGCAACAATTAAACCTACGACCTCAGAGACGCAAGACGCTTGCCGCGCTTCATCCTGTGCAGTGAAATCCTGTGCTCTCCCACAATACCTGCCGAGTTGTTGATTGGTGTTGCATGCATATGGTATACTGGTTATTAAACCAAGAAGACAAACCAAACACACAACTTTCAGAAATCCTGCTCGTTGCCATCTAGAATCTGAACAAAAAAGAATTATGCTTTAAAATGGAGCCCAAACTTGCACATATAACTAACAACATACAAAGTTTTTTATCTGTATGTGCAGACCTTTATCAGAACAATTCAAACCTACCGAGGTTTACAGAGGTACTCTGTAGTCCGAATATGGCGTAACCAATTATGTATCTGTTTCTCTATCACGTAATGTGGCCTCACCCTATTGTTATCAGAGTGAGAAAATAATGTTAATTCTTATCTGTTGGAAGGAATATAAAATTGATGGATGTAGTTTAACTTTTTTCTCCTGAAAGTGTCAACAGTCTGAGTTGATCACCGTTTGCTGTCCTGTAGGAATAAACTAAACTACTTGTTCGCTTCTGTCAGCCTACCAGTATTAAATATTTTCTGGTGTGTACGGTGTGGTATACTGCAGCTAGGCTACGAAGTAGTTCGTGGCCCCTTTTTTGCGCCCATGATGCCGAAGTCTGCGACGCAGAAGAATGGGTGTAGAGCTTTATTCGGAGTTTAATTTGTTCGGTTTCGCGCAGCCATTACATAAGTCGCAGCCAATACAGTATCACTAAACAATTATTATGTAAATGAAGTGTATAGCGAAAAACAACAAACAATATCGGTTGAACGGAGTCTTTGTCTTTTGAACGTCGCGGAAATTACACCATAGCTAGTTTCAAGTACAAACAAAGAGTTCAAACGTCAAACTCTTCATGTGCTATATATATAAGCCTAATTATGAAAATGGGCTGGGACCTTGATATAATCTCGAACGGTGATATAAGGATTGATAGGGATAAAACTACGTGAAAAATAGAAGAACTTTGAGGTGTCGAGCGAAGGTTGTATCCCTATATCAAGCTGCAGCTGAAACAATGAGTCTGGGGTCGTTTACATGAGGTTTGCCACATGCATGATATACGTGCGGCATGTGAACGGGGTCTTAAGCCGGTTTTCCACTTCGCCCGTATCGTGCCGAAACGTACTGGTGAGCATGCGCTGATTGAAAAGAGGTTTATAAATCCACGTACTTCCGGGTGTATTCGCGTATCAAAATAAAAAGTTCGTCGCAAGTCAACTTTTTGGCGTACTACGGAAGTACTAACCAATCAACATTCACGAAATTTTTTATGAATTTATTTATTTATTTAAAAATATTTTACAACGATAACCCTTTAGAATCTACACATATCTGTTTTCCAAGAGGTCGTTGAACAATAACGAGCCGTGGTTCGACTGTAATCTGCCGACTCGCGGAATCGCAGTTCAGAGTTCATTTTCATCGCCCTGATTTTTTAAAATTTATTTTTCCTCGCGTTTTTAATCGAACGGTTTTTACGAATTCCGGATTTTTGCAGTCATGATATATCAAAATAAACTATTTTAAATTTTATTAGAATTTAATAAAATAGAATATAGCTAGAATAGAAGCTGTATTTACATAAGGATTACAAGCAGTAAAATATATCATGATCTAATCACAAGCTATTATATAGTACTTTTAATATACTATTTTTATATGCTATACTATATCATTCCAACAACTGAACTGATTGCAAGTGTTAAGATCTATATCTAGGAGTAAATATTATACCACATTAAAATAAATAGAATTATTAAATTAAGTATTAACATTATACCTAAGAGTTATATACCTAATAAGTTAAAACAATTTTCAAATAATACTTTAATATCGTCAGCCGATAGATATGCGTCAGCCAGGGACAGGGTGTTCCATAAATTTGCTTTAGAATAGAGTACAGTACAGTACAGTATGTTTCAAACATTTTCAATTTTAGGCTTTGGGAGCTTAATCGTTTTTGTGCTTGGTGTTATACCAATTGATTGGTAATTACGTCCATTTCTGTGGCGAATTAAAGTATTGTTCACATCCTTCATCTTCTCGTTTTGAAGTTTCTGCGCGAGTTTAGCCTTGTGTAACTTTCTCTGTTCTTCAAGTTCAACCTAATTAGCCTTAATTTCTCACGCCGCCTTTTTTGGGTACTGCCTTTTCCAAATCTAAGATTGTATACGCAGTGAATAATTACGGACATTAAGGGATTTGTATAACTATAATTGTGAGTAATCATTAATTTACAGTTACATATTTGAAAAAAATGTTTTCACATCGCTTAGATTTTTTACGTCGTTCTCAAAAAAATACCCCCAAAATGGCGAATTTTGGCCTTGGTCATGAGAAAGGCTAATCCAACTGTTTTAACTTCGGAAAATCTCGTCTGTGCTATTCGCGTGCAGATCGATTTTATAACCTTATCACAATTGTACAATAATAAAACCTATTATTAAAATTATCCCAAACTACATCGCAATAATCTGGTATCAGCTGGGAAAGTGTTAACAATTTGGAAATGACGTGTCAAAAATATCTTGACTGCTACTAGTCAACACTGAAATAACAAAACAATTTGTGTTATTTGACACTGTCATCTAACAAAATACCTTACAAATAGCTGACAATTGGTTTAAATTTTAACTGTAAACTGCCGTCCAAAGACATCCTTTTACTTCTTTATCAATTTTTGGTAAGAAGCGCTATCATCCTGTACTCGTTTCGTGTTGTCCAGCTCCGTGTAGCCAGGAGTCGTTTTTATTTCTCCTGCATGAGCTGGTATCACATAATCTGAGTCGCGTTTTAACAATTTCTGGTAGGTGCGCGCATTTGTCTCGTCTGCTCGGTTTCTATCAAGCTCGGTGTAGCCTGACAGTGACGAGATTTGGACTTTTTCGTAACCCGAACTACAATCAGAATTTGCTGTTTCCCTTCCGTCCGATTGGCTGCTGTTACGCTCGTCGTGAACAAAAGGTGGTGAGACGATTTGGACTACACTGTATGGTGCTGTTCTGCCATTAGCTGGAATAACATAAGCCGAGCTACGATCAGAATTTGCTGTTTCCAATTCCCTTCCGTCTGGTCGGTTTCTGTTAAACATTTCGTGAACAGAAGGGGGTGAGATGATTTGGACTACACTGTATGGTGCTGTTCTGCCATTAGCTGGAATAACATAACCAGAGCTACGATCAGAATTTGTCGTTTCCCTTCCGTCTGGGCTGTTTCTGCTAAGCACTTCGTAAACTGAAGGTGGTGAGATGATTTCAATTTCTTCGTATGGTGCTGTTCTGCCACTAGTTGGATCAGCATGATCTAATCCCTGTATTAACAATATTGTTTTAAAAACGCAGGAAATAATGTCTAGAGTTTTAAGCCCATTTACTCCAGTTTACATTTCCTTACTAGACTTGAGTTTTCTACGAAGAAAGGTAAACTAGTGACGTGTCTTAACCGTGTTTTCAAGCTTATTCTGGGCTTGTTAGACGCCTCCAACTCGCCACAACTCGCTGTGAGATAATGAGATTAAAGATCCAGAGCAGGCCTGTTTTTTTTATGAACTAAACAATTCAAGTTATGACAAGATACCTGATTATTATTTGACGATGATTCTGTTTCAATTTCTGCCGCTTGATTTTCTATTCCAACTCTGTCCACAGAAATCGGTGACTTCGAGGTCTGGTGACGTCTTTTGTATATTATCAGAATTACAAATAAGACGATAAGCACGATGGCAAGAGTTACAGCAATACCCACGAACATTGCAATTGAATTTTCTGTTTCTGTTAAAATTTGTGATAAAATAAGAGAACGTTATAGATTATGATGACATACTCTAGCTCCTCTCATTAGGCTTCACATAATCTTAATCCTAACTCCAATTCTTGTCTCGTCAATTCGGGATAGTAATATTATTGGCACTAACCACTGGCACAGACTGTTCGAATAAATCTATTTTTGTATATATAGGGGCAAATGCAGGCAAATTACAGTATGTGCAAAAGCAGAATGAAATACTGGATCACTGAAATATTATCAAGCTTTAAAAGAATTACTTTATTAAGTTTTTCCTCAGTTGCTACGAGGGCTACCTTTGACAAATATCTGGTCGCCAGGTAAAAATCTGGTTACATTTGTTTACATGACACCTGTTAATTTCAAACCCTGAAAGTCGTTAAAAATCAACCCAACATCTCAAACTACTTACCGCTATCATATCCAGGTTTTGGTTTGGTATTTGTCAGTTGAGGGATGGTCATTGTTGGACTGTCAGGACTTGCTGTGGCATTAATTTGTGTTGTAGGTAGAGTTACAGCCGGACCAGAATGAGATGTTTTGCCTGGACAATTCTGAAATGACTTCTTCTCATTTTCACTGACAGGAACTAAAAAATAACAGTAAGATCAGGACAGGAGTTTTATACTAGAATTATATATATATTCAAATTGGCTCAGTTCACAAAGTTGCAATTCCAGAGCCGGATGTTCAAAGCTGGGTTTGCGCTAACCCTGGGTTAAAATATAACCCGTTGTTTTGGTTTGGATACATCTGTAAATTCATTTACTTCAAAACTATAGAAAATATTACTTTCGTTGATCCAGACAAGATTTCTAGAAACATGCCCCGGATTTGCCTGAATGCACACGAGACAATGGTACAAGCTGGAGTCTGGTAATGACTTATTTATAATTTATATCAATATTGGATCACATTGTCAGCCTCAAATTCAAGATACAATTAGCGAGCCAAAATACCTGAATTAAAACTGATCTCAGAGATTAGCAACCACTTTCCACCAAAATATAACCGCAACTTCACAAACCTTGCTGTATTTTCACAAAGTGACAAAGTTACATTTGCATTGTATGAATCATTTTTGGCTTGAAAATCTCTTGGATAGCACTGAAGAAATGATGTGTCTGAGAAACCATCTTTGGTTGAAGGGAAGAATATCTGTGATCGATTACATACAGCATTATCACGTTTCTTGTCAACATTCATAAATAGCGTAACACTTGTGAACTTTCGCACACCAGAAAACTCAAATGTGATGTCGATATATTGTGATTGAGTAAAAGTAGCATTCCATCCCACCCATCCTTTGCCTCTAACTTCTTTCGAGTTAGCAGGACCAAACTTGCCATCTGTAAGTATTCCAGTGCCATCTTTGTAAAAGTCATTGGTAATTACTCCATTATAAGATGTGTCTTTGTAGTCCACTTTGCCATTCCTGGTTGTTTGCCCAACTGGCATTGAGTAGGAGAGAATACCTAGAATAGTAAAAGAGTGCTAAAGTAAAGAAATATACTGTATCAGTAAACATACAGCATATACTTTATACACGGTATAACATTGGTGAATAAAAGAAAACAAAATTACCACAAACCTTCTTCAGGCACACAACCATATAGTTCAAGCCTCATACAAGCATTGGCACCCGTATTATAACCTGGATAAACCCTGATATACCTTGCCATAATTGTAGGGTCTAGGTCATGTGGCACGACAGTGAATACATTGGTATTACCAGGAAATATCTGAAAAAGAGTAGGTATTTCTAACACTTGAATCAGCAATCAAGATGCATCATTTGTCTTAGTGCAAAATACTAAACAAGCTATCCAAACAAATTATGAGATGAACTATCTTTTTTTGCGTAAGTATAAAGTTTGTCCAGATAGATGATCCATGTTTGTTGTGTTTATTCACAGACTAAAATAAGCAACATGTAGACAAACCTCTTAGCATCTGAAATTTGAGGTTCAGAGGATTCCACAATAAGGTCACAACGATGTGTATGTATATATTTCATGCAACATTTCTATCCATGAAACATCTTTATCAAATTTACCTTCACATCTTGATCTTTTCCTTGGTAAAAATGCCATACTCCATCATCTTTTCTATATTGAATTTTATAGTCCTTAACCCATTCTGTTCCTCCATTATATTCTCGTCCTTGTGTTGCAATTCTTGTGATGTTTGTCAGATTTAACAAATCAATCTGAATATACTGGTCGTAAGTCTTCTTAGTTTTTTCCCCTCCACTCACATCTACACACCAAGCTCCCCAGTCTGGTATATTTTGGCGTAGACGAGCCTGTCCGCCATATGCTGTTCTATGAAAACTAGAAACTGTGATCTGTGAGTCTTTAATTCTGCCATCTTCCATACCAAGTGGAGATATACATTCTAAATAACACAATGTTGGTATTATTATTTTAAGAATAAGTTCACACAAAAGCGCATCAGTTCAGGATGGTTCCGTTCATTCCTTCCTTCATTCATTCACTAACGGGTATTCATATTCCTGTTACATGCATTTCATGTTTAAAACGTAAATACAGAAATTTCATTGTGGTGCAAGGTTGAGCTCGAGGTATAGGGGGTGCCTTCTTTGCAGTTGAGAGCGGAATAACGAAGGTTGCGGCTCAACCCTTCCACTGTAGCTGTGCTCTGATCAGACACGAGGCATACGATGGCATTCAGAGGCGCCCTTTTAAATACGTCTTCGAGAATTCGGACTCGATCAGTTTGAGCTGCGTCCGTAATTCAGCTCAGTTCTCAGCTGCCACATGGTTGCGGGCTGCCCCTTATCACTGCATGCGTTAAGAATGTTCTGACTTGTTATTTAAAATTCGTGAGTGGAATTGTATAGAGTGGAGTGGAGTGGAGTAGAGCTGGAGTCTGTTGGTGGAGTATTGACGCGGATCAAACCCACGACCTTGGAGATACAAGGCGCTTGATGTGACGTTTGCGCCGCCGAAACCCTCGTGCTCAGTTCCTGCAATACCTGAGTTGCTGACATGGATCACACTGGTTAAACCAAGAAGACAAATAATCACACAACTTTCAGAAATCTTGCTCGTTGCCATCTAGAATTTGAAAAAAAAATATGCTTTAAATGGAACCCAAACTTTCACTTATAACAAACAACACACAAAAATTTTAATCTGTCAGCTCAGATCTTCATCAGCACAATACAAACCTACCGAGGTTTACCGAGGTCCTCTATAGTCAATATGGCGCAATTAACAATTATAAATTTGTTTCTCTATCTCGTAATGTGGTCACCCTACAGTTGTCTCTTTAACTTTCTGTTGTAGAAGGTATATAGAATTACTAGATGTGAACTTTTTCTCCAGCAAGTGTCAACAGTCTGAAGTCGATCACCATCTGTTGTCCTGCAGGAATAAACGGTTAACTGTTCACTTCTGTATGGTCAACAAAATATCGCCAATTATATACTCAAAGCCGCCCACCTGCACTTCCGTCTTTGTTAAAACTCAACTTTGTCAATATATAACTAAGTATGGTACCAGTCACGAGAGTTTGTGACAGTAGGTGTGGTATGGTACGCCTTTGTACGTTTTCTCACAACTTAATGAAACAGTAAAACCGAGTAACTAGGGTTGTATCAAAACACACAGCGCATGTTTACAATTGCCGGAGACATCACAGTGTGACGAAAGACGTCAGTCATGACGGAAGCCACTTTATCAGCTAACTAAGAGTTCACTCCCGATCAGTAAATCATGGTTCAACAAAAATATATAAAATACATGGAGAAAATAATTTACCATTTTAGGCCTTCCTTTTTCGATGATTGTTTTTTGCGTTACGTGTCAACTCCAAATCAGTATTATTGAGGCTGGTCGCATTATTGTGAAAACGGATGAAATAGCGCAAATTTTAAGAGCGCTTACGACATATACTACACTCTATATAACAAATTTCGGTATTCTAAATTCTATACAAACGACTCGTTTCAAGTGAAATCAAAATGCGAAGTACTGCACTTGATAGAAATAGACAGAATCGAGAGATTTATTTTAACTTTCTTGCTGTTTCAACATTTCTGTAGTGGACATTTCCTATACTAACACTTATATATAAACTAATTAAATGTCGGTAAAGATCACGTAGTATGTAAATAGGAAAAGGGTGAATAACACTACAGGAAACATTTAAACTTATGCAACGGAATTTCACACCGTTTTAGTTATGATTACACTGTGAAGAAAAAATGAGCAAATAAGATACTATATGCATATCCAACCCAGCTGGAATTGCGAGGACCACTAATTAAAATTTTGAACCTTTAAGGCTTTATTTAAGCCCCGTTTACACTACGCTCAATTTTTGGTACAGCACGGATAAAATTGGTACCCGTACCACTTTTTTGGTTCTTGGACTATCTATTTAGGTAGTCGGGTACGGTACCAAAAATTGAGCGTATAGTGTAAACGGGGCTTTAATTGAATACAAAACAATAGCAACTCCGGAAACAGTGAACATTACAGCAGGTGCTTATTCGACATGTCCAGTAGATTTTAGTTATTTTTCATTTTTTGACTAAAATCTAGTCAAAACGTCGAATAAGCACTTTTCAATGGAGTTGCTATTGTTTTGCATTCAATTAAAATACCCACTGCACGATTTGGCTATTTTTGAGGACCTGATACACTCAATTTATTCGAAAGCCGCGGTATAAGCCCAGGGTTAAAAGCGATGCTAATTACGTTTCCACTATACCAGATAACTTTCCGTAGCGGCGCGAAAAAGCACCTATCTGATACGAAATGTACAACTTTCAGAAGCTGAGCGAAACAACATCTCTCCGTTGCAATAATTCCTCTGAAAATAATGTTTCTAAAACGAGTTTTTCACGTCGCTACGGAAAATGTCCGTTCGGCAAAATGTCTTTCGGCAATGACAAAATGTCCGGCCACTTATAAGCTGGACGCCCACGGATATACAGTAATGGACGATTCCAAGTTGGCAGTTTACAGTAAAACTATACGCTTCTCTGAAACGGACACCTTTCTAGACTTGGGTGATGTTAGGGAGTTGCTATAAGAGACAAGTTTCTTGCCATCATCCGCAACGAACGCCCCCGAGGTTAGCAAACTTTAAACTAATACTTGCATATTTTCAATAACCACACCAACCCACATTAAAAACTAATAGGGGCACATTTCCTTTCAGGAAGGGTAACACTCTTCTGTCGTCTTAGTTTCTAATCAGAGGGGAACCGGAATTATTCACGAAGAAACGTCTCGAAGCACATGGGATCACGGAAAACATCTCCCAGGAAGAGCCTACATATATGGTTACAGTTTTCGCTGTTGCTGCTGGTCAAGTCCCGCCTGCTAGAGTCTAGATCTGCTCTAAAAATTGGAAGCAAATTTTCAGTAGCTTAACTCAGCTGCAGTAAGAGCCGGCACGTTGACCACATCGGCCTGTACTGGTAGTCCTCTACGCATAACATTACAATTAGAACTATTGCAAATTATAGGAAACGAATTCCTGTTACCGACTTAAGACAGTTTAATAACATTTTGTGAGCTTAGTTACTAGGCTATACTTACTATGTACCATGAGAGGCCCGTCAAGAGGATGTCAACACTGATGTCAAGCATTTCTAAAGTTCCTGATTGGTTTACACACTGGTTAAACCAAGAAGACAAACAAACACGCAACTTTCAAAAATCTTGCTCGTTGCCATCTAGAATTTGAACAAAAGAATTATGCTTTGAATAATGGAACCCCAACTGCCACATGTAACTAACAACATACAAAGTTTTTGCCGATCTGTCAGCGCTGATCTTCATTGGTACAATACAAACCTACCGAGGTGTATCGAGGTCCTCTAGTCAATATGGCGTAACCAATTATGTATCTGCTTCTCTATCTCGTATAGACATAGTTGTCAACCTACAGTTATCAGAGTATGAAAATAATGTTATATAGTTCTTTTCATATGTAACAGGCAATGAGAATTGATAAATGTAGTTTCTGCCAGATGTAGTTTAATTCTCTTAAGTTCATCACAGACCATCACAAATGTTTGCTTCTGTCCACTTACCACTTCCGCCTTTGTTTTACATCCAAACTTTGCCAATATATTATTCAATATTTTGCAGTCTGTATCGTGCGATATGATGTAGATGATGTGGACTTTTATTTGGGTTTTATTTTGTTCATTTTCTTATAACTTGAATGAAAGCTGAAATGGTCAGACCAAAAAACCAAGGCTGTGCCAAAACACAAATTAAGTGTATACGAGCAATATCAGAAAACTAATTAGGACTCAAATGGGCGTTTTGATTGAGTCTTTATTCAATGAAGGTAAACACACAATAGCATAAAAACATAATAAAAATAAATACAGGCTTATAGTGAAAATAAAACAAAGGTTGAACTGCATAGATGTCTTTGTTGCGAAAGTCACTCATTTGCATGCTGACCGGCCAGAACTAAACTTTTGTCTCTGTATGAATAGAAAGATCTGGTCTATGTTTCTCAAATATCTAGCAAGAATTCTAATGTTAGGCCAAAAAAAAAATATGTGGGTTTCCGGTTTCCCGACCCTACCTAGCTTTTGGACGTCGAAATCCCGACCCTAAACTTTTTTATTGGATCATGCTTGTAAGTGTTTCCACTTAGAGGAAAAAGTTTGTGGAAAATTGAAATTTGAGGCAATATTAGGGAAATTTATCTTTGGATGTGGAAGCACTGACTAAACAAAATGGCGTCCGCTTGTTCGGAAAATTAAAAAAAAAGTTTAAAAAAAAAAGTTAAAACCGACCTACCCTACCTAAGTTTTTATAAGAAGACCATATATTTTTTTTATGACCGGAAACCCACATATTTTTTTTTTGGCCTTATCTAAATTTTCCGGTTAGATAGGTCCGAAGCTCAACCATTTTATGTTTCATTCAACAATTTGACCGTGTTAATGGCAAGCGCCCTATGTCTAAGATTCTTTAAGACATGAAGTCCTAGCCGCTTCAAACGTCGCGACATAAATTAAACTCAAACTATACTGAATGGCTAGAATTATCTGAATTAAATATTATTAATTATATTAATTATTATTATATTAATTAATTATCTTTCCCAAAGGAAACGCGATATCTCAGGGAATGAGATTGCAATTTGTCTTATTTGGAACTGTCATCTTACAAAATACCTTACAAATAGCTGACAATTAGTTTAAATTTTAACTGAAAAATGCCGTCCAAAGACATCCTTTTATTTCTTTATCAATTTTTGGTAAGAAGCGCTATCATCCTGTACTCGTTTCGTATTGTCCAGCTCCGTGTAGCCAGGAGTCGTTTTTATTTCCCCATCTTCTACGTAAGAAGGTTCTGCTTCCGCGTGAGTTGGTATCAAATAATCTGAGTCGCGTTTTAACAATTTCTGGTAGGTGTGATCATTTGTCTCGTCTGCTCGGTTTTTGTCAAGCTGGGTGTAGCCTGACAGTGACGAGATTTGGACTTTTTCGTAACCCGAACTACAATCATAATTTGCTGTTTCCCTTCCGTCCAACTGGTTGCTGTTATGCTCGTCGTGAACAAAAGGTGGTGAGACGATTTGGACTACACTGTATGGTGATGTTCTACCATTAGCTGGAATAACATAAGCCGAGCTACGATCAGAATTTGCCGTTTCCAATTCCCTTCGGTCTGGTCGGTTTCTGTTAAGCATTTCGTGAACAGAAGGTGGTGAAATGATTTGGACTACACTGTATGGTGATGTTCTGCCATTAGCTGGAATAACATCACGCCAGCTACGATCAGAATTTGTTGCTTCCCTTCCGTCTAGGCTGTTTCTGCTAAGCACTTCGTAAACTGAAGATGGTGAGACGATCTCAACTTCTTCGTATGGTGCTGTTCTGCCACTATTTGGACCAACATGATCTAATTCCTGTATTAACAATATTGTTTTAAAAACGCAGGAAATATTGTCTAAAGTGTTAAGCCCATTTTCCACCAGGTGAATGTTGGCGTGAACAGTAAAAAAGTAGGAACTGATCCAACTTTTTCGCGGCGAATTTTTTCGCTGACCAATCACATTGCGAAGATTTGCGAACAAATTCGCCTAGTGGAAAATGGGAGTGGTTAGTGTGTGTCTTTCCGACCTCTGTGAACGAAATTTTATTTCCACAATATGCAGTCGTCTGATTGTAAACTCGCCTCAGTCATGTGTGAGAAGAGTGCTTCAAGTTTCGTTCTTCCAAATATTGAAGGTCTTCTCCTGGTAATCCAATTTCCTCTTGCAGTAACACTGAACGGTAAAGGCTCTCACCTAACCCCTACTGCTCTCGAGAGAATGATTCCAAACTGAAATAAGTTTAGTTTATATTTCCTTACTAGACCTGAGTTTTCTACGAAGAAAGGGAAACTAGTGACATGTCTTAACCGTGTTTTCAAGTTTATTCTGTGATGTTACTCGCCACACCTCACTGTGAAATAATACGATTGAAGATGCAGAGCAGGCCTGTTTTGTTATGAAATAAACAATTCAATGTTATGTTCAAATACCTGATTATTATTTGGCGGTGATTCTGTTTCTACCTCTGCTGCTTGATTTTCTAATCCATGTCTGTCCACAGAAATCGCTGACTTCGAGGCCTGGCGACGTCTTTTGTATATTATCAGAATTACAAATAAGACGATAAGCACGATGGCAAGAGTTACGCCTGCACCCATGAAGATGATCAAGATTGAATTTGTTGTTTCTATTGAATTAAAATTTATGGTAAAATAAGAGAACATTATTGAGTAATCTATAGTTCCACATTTAATTAAGTTTGCATACAATCTTAACCACAATTCTAATCTTAATCCTCTAATCCAGACCTGCAAATTATTACCGGTCATTGGACAACATCCAGCCAATTTTACCTTTTCTCTGATAATAGTTATAATAGAAGAGATGATTTGGAAATTCATTAGAATTACAATATAAGTTATACAACCCTTCGTCTGTTTTTGTTTAGGTTTATTCAGAAGTACAGTCTTTCACCGTCACGTGCGTATTGTATTTTTGCCCAACCAACTAATAGCAATGTTTTAGAAAAGTTATAGCTATCCGTCACTTGAACAATTGGGAAACTTACAAATTGCTATTGTTAGATTTGTCAAAAATACAATACGCGCGTGACGATGAAGGACCATATTTTTGCATAAACGTTGACTAACATAGATGAGTTTCCAAACAAATACAAATAAACAGTTCAAATATTAATAACTTACCTATGTATCCAGACTTCGTTGATGCTTTCATTTGTGAAGTGGTTGTGGACGATCTAGTGACAATAGAAGTATCTCCTGAACAGTTTTGAAGAGACTTCTTTTCATTTCCACTGGCAGCAACTAACAATATCAAAACAAAACAAAATTTAGTCACTGTTTACAGAATTAAACGGTACTTCAAACACTCAATAATTGATAAGGAAAACACCAAGGAAATTGCTACCGTGTCGGTGGTTTTATATGTGATAAAAAAATGTAAATGATATGTAAATGATTACATAAACTTTAGCCTTAATTTTCTGTCTTAAACAACGCTTATTTTTAAAATTATTTCGCCAATGAACTCATCAGACGGGTCGTTTTTTAAGCCATTTAAAACATTTGTAGTCCATGCTTTATCAGATATAAAACACTCGCGCTTCACTCTCTCGTGTTTTACATCTGATAAAGCACTCCTGCTCGTGTTTTAAATATATAGCAGACACAATTTTTAAAAAACTGCATAAAGTTTATTTAACCCATATTAACATTGAATATCTTCAAGAGTTAAATCATCTGACATTAAACAGAGTATATTAACCCATTGAGTGTCAGCATCCTCTTAACGAGTAAAATCGTCTGGCGTTAAACAGAGGAAAATAACAAATTGACAAGTAAAATTGAACGAGTAAAATTCTTTCTTGACGAGTAAAATCTTCTTGACGTTCTTCGTTACATTCTTCATACAAAATCTTCTTGACGTTCTTCGTTACATTCTTCATTCGTTACATTCATTACATTACAATCATTACATTACATTCGTTACATATATTACATTCGTTACATTCGTTACATTCATTCGTTACATTCTTCATACAAAATCTTCTTGACGTTCTTCGTTACATTCTTCATTCTTCGTTACATTCTTCATTCTTGACGTTCTTCGTTACATTCTTTTTGTTCTTCGTTACATTCTATCGTTCTTCGTTACATTCTCCGATGTATATTCTTTCTTGACGAGTAAAATTCTTTCTTGACGAGTAAAATCGTCTGGCGTTAAACAGAGGAAAATAACAAATTGGGCGCATCAGGGCGCATTGCAGCTTAACGGGTTGCCAAAGTCGGAGACATCAGACATTACAACTTGTCTTAATGTGTTAAGTTAACAAAAGGCATGGACAGATAGTGGGTTAAAAGAACAAAAGGAAATAGATATGTTTTACAGTAATTGACATAATATAACAAAATACCTGAATCAAAGCTGATCTCAGAGATTAGCAACCACGTTCCGCCAAAATATAACCTCAACTTCATAAACCTTGCTGTATTTTCACAAAGTGACAAAATTACAAGTGCATTGTATGAATAATTTCTGGCTTCAGAATCTCTTGGATAGCACTGAAGAAATGATGTGTTTGAGAAACTGTCTTTGGTTGAAGAGAAGAATATCTGTGATCTATTAAATACAGCATTACCACGTTTCTTGTCAACATTCATAAATAGTATAACATTTGTGAACTTTCGCACTCCAGAAAACTCAAATGTGATGTCGATATACGATGATTGAGTGTCAGTCCATCCCGCCCATTCTTCGCCTTTCGGCTTAGTTCCCTGCACCATCTCTTTTGAGTTAACAGGACCAAACTTTCTATCTGTAAGTATTCCAGTGCCACCTTTGTAAAAGCCATTGATAATTAATCCATTATAGGATGTGTCATTGTACTGCACTTTGCCATTCTTGGTTGTTTGCCCAACTGGCATTGAGTAGGAGAGAACTAGAACAGTAATAAAATACATTATATTATATACAGTATTTACTTACAATAACAAGTGGAAATATACATTCTAAATAAAACATTGTGTTGGTATTATTATTTTAATAATACGTTCACACATGATCGGATCAGTTCAGGATTGTTCTATTCATTCACGGTTATTCATATTACTGTTACATGCATTTCATGCTCAAAACGTACATACAGAAATCTGACCCTAACCTAATCTTAACTTATTTTAAAAATTGATATAACAACGGAAACCTTATTTTGAAGTATACTATCTATAGCAATTGCCCTGCATGAATGTCATGCATGAGTTCCCAGCGACAATTAAACCCACGACCTCACACAATAGCCTGCTCTCCTACAATACCTGCTGAGTTGCGGATTGGTGTTACATAGGATACACTCAGAGTCACACTGGTTAAACCAAGAAGACAAATAAACACACAACGTTCAGAAATCTTGCTCGTTGCCATCTACAATTTGAACAAAAAGAATTATGCTTTAAAATGGAGCCCAAACTTTCATTTATAACTAACAACATCGAAAGTTTTTGATCTGTCAGCTCAGATCTTCATTAGCGCTATATAAACATACCGAGGTTTACTGAGGTCCTTTACTCAATATGGCGTAACCAATCATATACTGTTTCTCTATCTCGTAATGTGGTCACGTACAGTTATCAGAGTGAGAAAATAATGTTAATTTTTTTTCTGTTGTAGAAGGTATATAAAATTGCTAGATGTGAACTTTTTCTCTTGCAAGTGTAAACTATCAGTCTGAAGTCGATCACCATCTGTTGTCCTACAGGAATAAACTAACTGTTCACTTCTGTATGGTTAACTAAATATCGCCAGTTATATACTCAAAACCGCCCACTACTATAGTCTTTGTTAAAACTCAACTTTGTCAATATATAACCAAGTATGGTGCGTTAACGAGAGTCTGTGATACGGACTAGGTGCGGGAGGTATGGTATATACGCCTTTGCAATGTTTTTTTTACAACTTCAATGAAAGGAACAGTAAGACCGAGTAACTAGGGTTATACAATAGTCTTTTACTGACGTCAAACGCGGAAAAACACGACGTAATGCGATGTCCCAATGGACAATGCAAATGATTTTTTATGAAATGTATAGTGGCTCGCCAACGACTTGCATTGCGCGTTTGACTTCATTAAATAAGAAAGATTTATTGCCGCAGACATCACAGTATGACAAAACAATGATGAAGCTTATATCATGCAAATGAAGTTTAGCAAAAAGAAAGCGAGAAATAATATCGATCACCTGATGTCTGTGTTGTCAGTCATGACGGAAGCCCGCTTTATTAGCTAACCAATAATTCACTCTCATCAGTAAATCATGGTTCAACAAAAATATTTCTAAAAAATATTGTTTTTTTACAGAAGCGTCGCATCAGTGCTCGGATTTAAAGAGCAAATGCTAATTTTCATTTTCAATATGTTTGACGTTTCTAGAAGGTGATGGAGGGTGGTGTTTGATTGGTCTCCAGGGAAACGTATACACTAATATGATTTTTCACGAGAGAAAATAATTTACCATTTTAGGCCTTCCTTTTTTCGGTGATTGTTTTTTTGCGTACGTGTCAACTCCAAATATTATTGAAGCTGATCGCATTATTGTTAAAACGGATGGAATAGCGTAAATTTTAAGAGGTTTTTATACGACATATACTACACAATTTCTACAAGAAAAGTTCGGAAACGACTCGTTTCAAAAAATCAAAATGCGAAGTATTTAATACACTTGATCGAAATAGACAGAATCGAGAGATGTATTTTAATTTTCGTGCTGTTTCAACATTTCTGTAGTGGACATTTCCCGCTATACTAATACTAATATATATAAACTAATTAAATGTCGCTAAAGATCACGCAGCCTGTAAGTGTAAACAGGGAAAGGGTGAATAAACACTACAGTACAGGAAATATTTGAACTGTCTTATTGCAACGGCATAGTACAAAACATGGACTGGACCCAAAATTGGACTCAAAATTGGACTCAAAATTTTAGCCAAAATTTTGCGCAAATATCCATTATTTTTTCGGAGAGAAACAACCCTCAGAATATCGGGCTTTGATTTCATTTGTATAGGCAAAACTTCACGTTCCATCACTTTTCCTTGACCTATCTAGCTATTTGTCTTCCAAAATTCTATATTCTATTTTCTAAACGTTATCTAGGGTATCTCGTAAATAATAAACCTTTGTGAAATATCTTTGCGCAATGGTCACAAATACATCACATCAAAATAAATCATTCCATCAATATATACATCAATATATAGTTATTTTAATTATATACATTTTGTGTCTGTGTATAATACACCCTCGATCTATATATTCCGGCATATATATCCTCTAACGAGTAACGAGTTCGCAAAGTTTGTGTTGTCCATATATTCTAATATTTATCGCAACTAGCTATATGTGGGCTTATCATTATGCACATAAATCTGTAATAGTTTTTGAAATGCGAATGAGTTTTAGTGAAGAAAAAAAACTACCCACGACTATTAACACACGACATAAAATGACACGTCTATATTTGACAAACGGAAATACAATATGTGCATAATACAGGTGTATGTACCACAGAATACCGTCTTATTTATTTCTTATATAAAATTTGAAGGAAATATGCTAAACACTTTACTTTTGTGATTATATATTAGTTTTAGTCTTAATTGACATATAAAAACAAAAAAGTATATTTTCTTAAAGATTCTTAAAAATAATTAACAATTATTGGATGAGGTTTTTGTGATATGCGGAATTATCAAGGCAATACTTTTTCTATGCAATGCAACATTATTACTACACTGGAATCACACAGTGTAATCAATTTTACCATTGAAAAACTGAATTTTTCAAAATTATTGATAAACCTGGTATTCTTTGGTTATACCACTGGTATTCTGTACTGATTTTAGTGTTTAACTTTCACTAAATTAAGTTAGCAATATTCCACAGTATTATATATCATACAACACTACACACCAAATCCTGGTACAATTTGATAAACCGTTACTTACTTACCTCCGCACTGGTATTCTGTGGTACACTGGATTTTTTTGCACAGAATATGGACAAAACAAACTTTGTGAACTCGTTACTCGTTAGAGGATATATATGCCGGAATATATAGAGGGTGTATTATACAGACACAAAATGTATATAATTAAAATAACTATATATTGATGTATATATATATTGATGTATATATTGCTGTATATATTGATGGAATGATTTATATCGATGTGATGTATTTGTGACCATTGCGCAAAGATAACGTTTAGAAAATAGAATATAGAATTTTGGAAGACAAATAGCTAGATAGGTCAAGCCGGAAATTAAACGTGATGAAACGTGAAGTTTTTGCCTATACAAATTATATAAATCAAGGTACGATATTCTGAGGGTTGTTTCTCTCCGAAAAAATCATGGATTTTTGGGCAAAATTTTGGCTAAAATTTTGAGTCAAATTTTGGCTAAATTTTTTAGTCCAATTTTGGGTCCGTCCATGGGTCCAGTTCATGGGTCCAGTCCATGTTTTGTACTATGCCTATTGCAACGGAATTTCACACCGTTTTAGCTATGATTACACTGTGAAGAAAAAATGAGGAAATAAGATACAAAGCATATCCAACCCAGCAGGAATCACGGGAACCACTAATTAAAATTTTGAACCATTATTTAATTAAATACAAAACAATAGCAACTCCGGAAAGTGAAACGGTAAACATTATGAAGACCTATGAAAGGAATATATTCGACGTCTCCAGTAGTTTTTAGTTATTAATTTTTTCACTAAAATGAGTAAAATCTAGTCAAAACGTCGAAGAAGCACTTTTCAAGGATAAATTTACCGTTTTCGGAGTTGCTATATCAGGGTTTGCACTTAATTAAAATACTCATTGGTTTGGCTATTTTTTAGGACCCTACGGAGCGATTATAGGATATCCGGCCACTTTTGATAGCGCGGTTTGCTTTTGAGGGTACGGGTACGGGGACACGCGATCATTAAAATGACGTAATTATTCGAGTAGTTTAATGTTTCAAATTAAGAGAAGAATGGGTGCATGACTACTACTGTTTCAATGATACGGGGATACGACCAATATATAATAAGCTCTGTTATATCTTTCTTGAAACCAAGTTAGTACTGAGGTTAATGTTACAATTCTGGGAAATTGGAAGAACGAGATATTATAATATATATTGCATAAAGTTTTGTATACTGACATATATAAGCGTGTTCTATGGAATATAATATTTTATATACGTCGAGTATATATGCTGTGTGAGCGTTTCTTTTAAAGAACGAGGAAAACTCATGAAACACATACTGATATTTCCGCCGTGGATATTCATGCGACACCGGAATTCCTTGTCTGACAACTATTCATCCGATATGAAATATTTTTAAAAAACTCACTACATGCAAACAAACCTACCCCGCGTAGCCCTTTCTCCGCGCATTTGAGAGTTAAAACAAGTCTAAAAACAGTATAATAAATTAGGTTCAGAAAAATAGAAAAAATTCCACGATAATCACCTCGCCTTCGGCGAATAATTGTTAATTAAAGGCACAGTTCAGCCTTTTGAACGATGGTTTTTAAGGCGCATTTCAGCCCTTTTAATTGAAAAAACTAACTAGGAAAATCAATTAAGTATAATTCAAAATCAGTAAACTCGATGTTTTTAACAATAAAAATGTTTTAGAATGTTAAAAACATTGAGTTTGGTGATCTTGAATTATGCTTAATTGATTTTCCTAGTTAGTTTTTTCAATTAAAAGAGCTGAAATGCGTCTTAAAAACCATCGTTCAACAGGCTGAACTGTGCCTTTAATACGTCAAATTTGACCAATCAACCTGTAGGAATTGTTATGTTCACTTGTGCAAAAATACTAAAATATGATGTGTGTGAGCGTGTCTTTTAAAGAACGAGGAAAACTTACACATTGAAATTGTGGTTCCATTACTTAAAACGAAGTGTAATAACACGGTTTTATAATAAATGTTGTTTGATTGATTGACTGCGTATCAATGTCAGGGCTATATAATAATTACGTCATTTTGTTGACTGCGTATTCCCGTATCGCCCCAAAGCAAACATATCAAAATTGGCAGAGTAACGACAACGGATGCCAAGTTGCTTGCTGGCATCACGCGCAACGAACGCCCCCGAGGTTGGCAAACTTTAAATAAACACTTGTTCATTTTCAATACCCACACCAGCCCACATTAAACTAATAGACACACACTTCCCTTCAGGAAGGGTAACACTCTTCTGTCGTCTTAGTTTCTAATCAGAGGAGAACCGGAAAACGTCATGAAGAAACGTCTCGAAGCACATGCAGGGGATCACCAAAAACAACTCTCAGACTGAAGAGCCCATATGGTTGCAGTTTTCGCAGCTGTTTCTGGTCAGGTATCGCCTGCCAGAGTCTAGGTCTGCTCTAAAAATTGGAAACAAATTTTTAGTAGCTAAACTCAGCTGCAGTAAGGGCCAGCACGTTAACGACCCGTTAACCACATTGGTCTCAACTGGTAGATCTCTACACATAACATTACAATTAGAATTATTGCGAATTATAGGAAATGAATTTCTGTTACCGACTATAGACAGTTTACAGTAATAACATTTTACGAGCTTAGTTACTAGGCTATACCTACTATGTACCATGAGAGGCCCGTCAAGAGGATGTCAACACTGATGTCAAACATTTCTGAAGTTGCTGATTGGTGTTACACACTGGTTAAACCAAGAAGACAAATAAACACACAACTTTCAAAAATCTTGCTCGTTGCCATCTAGAATTTGAACAAAAGAATTATATGCTTTAAATAATGGAACTTCAACTGCCACATATAACTAACAACATACAAAGTTTTTGCCGATCTGTCAGCGCTGATCTTCAATACGAACCAGTACAATACAAACCTACCGAGGTTTATCGAGGTACTCTAGTCAATATGGCGAAACCAATTATATATCTGTTTCTTTATCGATCGTATAGACATAGTTGTCAATCTACAGTTATCAGAGTATGAAAATAATGTTATATAGTTCTTTTCATATGTAAGAGGCAATGAGAATTGATAAATGTAGTTCATGACAGACGTAGTTTAATCCTCTTAAGTTCACCAGAGGTTCATCACAGACCATCACAAATGTTTGCTTCTGTCCACTTACCACTTCCGCCTTTGTTTTACATCCAAACTTTGATTTCAATAGTCTGTATGGTGCGATATGATGTAGATGATGTAGGCTTTTATTTGGGTTTTATTTTGTTCATTTTCTTATAACTTGAATGAAAGGTGAAATGGTTAGACCAAAACACAGGGCTATACCAAGACACAAAATGTATATGCGAACAATATCAGAAAACTAATTATGACTCAAATGGGCGTTTTGAGTCTTTATTCAATGAAGGTAAACACACAATAGCATAAAAACATATTAAAATAATAAATACAGGCTTATAGTGAAAATAAAGCAAGGGTCGAACTGCACAGATGTCTTTGTTGCGGAAGTGACTCATTTGCTGACCGACCAGAACTAAATTTTTGTCTCTGTATCAATAGAAAGATCTGGTCTATGTTTCTCAAATATCTAGCAAAAATTCTAATGTTATCTAAATTTTCCGGTCAGATAGGTCCGAAGCCCAACCATTTTGTGTTTCATTCAACAATTTGACCGTTCTGTCCATGTCAATGGCAAGCGCCCTACATGTCTAAGGTTCTTTACATGAAGGCCTAGCCGCTTCAAACGTCACGAAATAAATTAAACTCAAACTATGCTGAATGGCTAGAATTATCTGAATTAATTATTATTAATAATTATTAATAATATTAATTATTAATTATATTATTAATTATATTAATTATCATATTAATTAATTATCTTTCCCAAAGGAAATGAGATTGCAATTTGTGTTATTTGGAACTGTCATCTTACAAAATTCCTTACAAATAGCTGACAATAGGTTTAAATTTTAACTGAAAAATGCCGTCCAAAGACATCCTTTTATTTCTTTATCAATTTTTGGTAAGAAGCGCTATCATCCAGCACTCGTTTCGTGTTGTCCAGTTCAGTGTATAGCCAGGAGTCGTTTTTATTTCCCCTGCATGATCTGAGTCGCGTTTTAACAATTTCTGATAGGTGTGATTACTTGTCTCGTCTGTTCAGTTTCTGTCAAGCTGGGTGTAGCCTGGCAGTGATAAGGTTTGGACTTCTTCGTAACCCGAACTACAATCAGAATTTCTTGTTTCTATTCCGTCTGGTCGGTTTCTGCTATGCTCGTTGTGAACTGCAGACGGTGGGGCTATTTGGACTACTCTGTATAGTGATGTTCTGCCATTAGCTGGAATAACATAAGCCGAGATACGATCAGAATTTGCCCTTTCCAATTCCCTTTCATCTGGTCGGTTTTGGTTAGGCATTTCGTGGACAGAAGGTGGTGAGATGATTTGGACGTCTTCGCATGGTGCTGTTCTGCCATTAGCTGGAATAACATCGCCCGAACTACGATCAGAATTTGCCGTTTCCCTTCCGTCAGGTCGGTTTCTGTTAAGGTTGACATGAACAGGAAGTGGTGAAATGAATTTGGCGTCTTCGTACCGTGCTGTTCTGCTACCAGTTGTACCAGCATGATCTAACCCCTGTATTAACAATTGTTGTGATTAAAAACGCAGGAAATATTGTGTTATAGAGTGTTAGTGTCGCAGTGGTTAGTGTATGTGTCTTTCCGATCTCTGTGATCGAAGTTTGATTTCCACAAAATGAGTAACACTGAACGGTAAAGGCTCTCCCCTGACCCCTATACTACTCTCGAAATAATGATTCCAAAGTGATGACGCTATCCGATATAAAAACGAAAGTTTAGTTAAGGTTTACTTACTAGATCTGAGTTTTCTACGGAGAAACGGGAACTCGGCGATGAAAAAGACGACGTGTTTTCAAGCCTATTCTTTGTCTATTTTAATGTATTGATCGAGTTTAGAGAAAGTTTAAGACTCAAAAGATGATTACCGTTCAATTTTTCTTGCTACAACCATTCTGATATAGGAGAAAAGTTGTCCACAAGTTGTTTCATTGCCCGTCATTTGGAAGAAAAGTCACGTGATGGCAGACAAAGAATTCTGGACTTGTTACTTGCCCCCAACTCGCTGTGAGATAATGCGATTGAAGATCTAGAGCAGGCCTGTTTTGTTATGAAATAAACAATTCAATGTTATGTTCAGATACCTGATTATTAATTGGCGGTGATTCTGTTTCTGCCTCTATTGCTTGATTCTCTATTCCAACTCTGTCCACGGAAATCGGTAACTTCGAGGCCTGGAGACGTCTTTTGTATATTATCAGAATTACAAATAAGACGAAAAGCACGATGGCAAGAGTTACAGCAAAACCCACGAACACTGCAATTGAGTTTTATGTTTCTGTTAAAATTTGTGGCAAAATAAGAGAACGTTATAGATTATGATGACATACTCTAGCCCCTCATAGTTAGGCTTCACATAATCTTAATCCTATAACTCCAATTCTTGTCTCGTCAATAGACCTTTCCTCTTTAACACGAGTGAAATTTTGATCTAGATATGCCTGGACAAAAACTTCATCACAGCTTGAAAGAGCATCACAAAATTAGTAATATTCCAAAGTTTCATGGCGAAATGTTGTAAAATGCGGATAATATAGCCTTGCGAAATTTGCCGTTTTTCAGTCATTTTGCATTACAAACGGGAAATTGATAATCAGATGATCAAACTGATTATAAATTTCCCATTTTGCAGATATGATATATCAAAATAAACTACTTTAAATTTTATTAGAATTTAATAGAATAGAATATAGAATAGAAGCTGTATTTACACATGCAGGGATTATATACAATCAGTAAAATACTGCTCTTCGCAGACCCAGTGAACCTTTTTAATCACAAGCCACTATATATAGTACCTTTTAATATAGCCTACTATTATTACAGCTTTTCTATCATTCCAACAACTGAATTGATTGCAAGTGTTAATAACTAGGAATATATCTAGGAATAAATATTATATCACATTAAAATATATAGAATAATTAAATTAAGTATTAACAATATACCTATAAGAGTTAATATATACCTAATAAGTTAAAACAATTTTCAAATAATACTTTAATATCGTCAGCCAGGATGTTCCATAAATTTGCTTTAGAATAGAGTACATGAGTATGTTTCAAACATTTTCAGTTTTAGGCGTTGGGCGCTTAAGATCGTTTTTGTGCTTGGTGTTATAATTATGTCCATTTCTGTGGCGAGTTAAACTATTGTTCACATCCTTCATCTTTTTGTTTTGAAGTTTCTGCGAGACTTTAGCCTTGTGCAAGTTTCTCTGTTCTTCAAGTTCAACCCAATTGAGCTGTTTCAACTTCTGTTTGTCCCCATAACTATTCGTGCAGATCGATTTTATAACCTTATTACAACAATATTTAACAATTATTCGCTGAAGGTGAGGTGATTATCGCGGAATATTGGCCGAGACGAAGTCGAGGTGAATATTCTCCGACAATCACCGAGCTGCAGAGGCGAATAATTGTTTTAGTATTTTTGTGTTTTTTGGGACTGAATTTATTTTAATTTCGCTTATTTCTTTATCAGTATAACGTCCACACAACGTTATGTTATATTTACCTGTAGCAGTGTATAGGTGAATATAACAGCTTAATACGTCAAATTTGACCAATCAACTTGTAGGATTTGTTATGTTCACTTGTGCAAAAATACTAAAACCTATTATTAAAATTATCCCAAGCTACATCGCAATAATCTGGTATCAGCTGGGAAAAGATGAAACAATATTTTGGAAATGAGATCTTGCAAAATATTTGAACTGATAGTGTGAGCTGGGAATGACGTGTTAAAAATATCTTAACTACGAATAATAAAATAATTTGTGCTATTTGGAACTGTCATCTTCCAAAATACCTTATAAATATAGCTGACAATTGATTTAAAGTTTAACTGAAAAATGCTGTCCCAAGGCATCCTTTTATTTCTTTATCAATTTTTGATAAGAAGCGCTATCATCATGTACTCGTTTCGTGTTGTCCAGCTCCGTGTAGCCAGGAGTAGTTTTTATTTCCCCATCTTCTACGCAAGAAGGTTCAGCTACCGCGTGAGTTGGTATCAAATAATCTGAGTCGCGTTTTAACAATTTCTGGTAGGTGTGATCATTTGTCTCGTCTGTTCGGTTTTTGTCAAGCTCGGTGTAGCCTGACAGTGACGAGATTTGGACTTTTTCGTAACCCGAACTGCAATCAGAATTTCTTGTTTCTATTCCGTCTAGTCGATTTCTGTTATGCTCGTCGTGAACAGAAGACGGTGGGGCGATTTGGACTACCCTGTATGGTGTTATTCTGCCATTAACTGGAATAACATAACCAGAACTACGATCAGAATTTGCCGTTTCCAATTTCCTTCCGTCTGGTCGGTTTCTGTTAAGCATTTCGTGAACAGAATGTGGTGAGATCATTTGAACTACACTGTATGGTGATGTTCTGCCATTAGCTGGAATAACATCACGCGAGCTACGATCAGAATTTGTCGTTTCCCTTCCGTCTAGGCTGTTTCTGCTAAGCACTTCGTAAACTGAAGGTGGTGAGATGATTTCAATTTCTTCGTATGGTGCTGTTCTGCCACCAGTTGGACCAACATGATCTAATCCCTGTATTAACAATATTGTTTTAAAAACGCATGGAAATATTGTCCAGAGTGTTAGTGTCGCAGGGTTTTTTGTATGTTAGCAGTTAGTGTCAGTGCACTGAATGGTAAAGGGTCTCACGCGTGACCCCTATACTGCGCTTGAAAGAATGATTCCAAACTGATGACGCTATCCAGTTTAAAAAACCAAAGTTTAGTTCAGGTTTACTTACTGGACCTTCGGAGAAAAGGAAACTCGCCGATGAAAAATCTGACGCGTCTCAGCCGTGATTTCAAGCTTATTCTGGGCTTGTTACTCACCCCAACTCGCTGTGAGATAATACGATTGAAGATCAGTTCAAGATTCATACGATTGTTATGAACTAAACAATTCAATGTTATGTTCAGATACCTGATTATTATTTGGCGGTGATGCTGTCTCTGCCTCTACTGCTTGATTTTCCATTCCAACTCTGTCGACAGAAATCAGCAACTTCGAGGCCTGGAGACGTCTGTTGTATATTATGAGAATTACAAATAAGACGATAAGCACGATGGCAAGAGTTGCGCCTGCACCCACGAAGAAGATCAAGATTGAATTTGTGGTTTCTATTAAATTAAAATTTACGGTAAAATAAGAGAAGAATATTGAGTAATCGCATAATCTATAGCTCCGCATTTAAATTAAGTTTATATAATTCAATCTTAACCCTAATTGCAATTCTAATCTTAATCCTCATTCTAATCCAAAGCCGCAAATTAGTACCCAGTACCGTAGCCAGCTCGATAATTGGGGGGGGGG